GATTCCATTCATTCCTGTGTTTGATGTAATTGTTATCTATGCTCCGACGTTCATCTTGTACAGCAACACCTGTCGCATCATTTGGAAATTTGTTATTTTTTCGAACCATGTATTCTTAACACGCACTAAAAAATCTGGAGGATGTGCGACAGATTGGTAATTCCCGTGTTCATAAAATATGGTATTGTTAATTTACTATCCATGACATTCTATTGTGTACTAGATGTGATTAAAATGTTGTTTTCTTTTACAAGAATCTGAGACATTTCTCCATTGTTGAAGCTCTAGGAGAAGAAAATATTATAGGTCAAATTCATCTATTAGTCCATGTACTATGTGAAAGTTGTCGGTTTGGTCTATTTACTCTAATTTGGTCATTTTAGCATTATGATGCGATCCAATAATAGTATCTATCATATTTTTAGTCTAAATAAAACTCACGTACATCATGCAGATAACGTTGTTCGAATTTGAGTCATAAGCAGAAAATGTTGTTTGAATTTGAGTCACAAAGCTATATCCTGATAGAGCTCGTCTCTTGTTTGAGAAATGTGTCATAAGTTGAGTGCCTTTTTAGACTTGTATACCGGTTTCTTTACATAGTCAATGTTAGGCAGATGTTGAACTTTGTTGGGAGATTTTGGTGCATACATAAATAGGACAGATACAACAGACCATTTGCTTTTTGCAATTTATAATATAGTTCAATGTATTCAAAACCACGGCATTATAAGAATGAAGTTAATCCAAGAATCTTATTAACCCTTTTTCGGGGTTTGCTTCGACTATCTCCTTAAATTATTTTCTTAATCCGATCAAAGGAAATATTTTACGATAACTCGATAAGAGATCAGGAAAACCAGAAAGTATACAAGTGTTCGTCGTATAACACACCATGTATAGAAATCAATTAATCCAAAAGGCAAGACGATTTTCAATTCTCATTCAAAACATCTTCAAACTGTCCGAGGAAACGAGTTTCTTTGCTTCGTTTTATCAACAAGACGTATGCATCATCCAAACAACCAAACTTCCCTTACATTTGATATCCACAAACTCCTCCCAGAAAATTATTTAAATGGTCATACATAGTTTTTCAGCATGTCATAGAGAGGTGACTCCCAAGAAGAAGAAGATGGTGAGATGACTCGATGCTGATACTGAGTCCGGACATTAAATCAAACCGAGTGGGGCTCGAACGCACAATCACCTGATTAGAAGTCAAACGCCTTTTCCATTAGGCCATGGGTGCTTGTTGTCTAGTGTTCATGGATAAATTATAATAAAAAAGAAGTCAAAAGAAAAAAAAGATAAAGGTGATTCGAACTCGTTCCTGAGTCTGGCCAAAAGAGGATTTCACACCCAGTGGGGCTCGAACCCACAATCGCTTGATTAGAAGTCAAGCGCCTTATCCATTAGGCCATGGGTGCCTCTTTTTTCAGTCTCTACAATTGTTTTAATAATCTTAAATAACACCCTTGGAGTCATGGAATGTAACTTTACTTTTAACACGTTCTTAATTGGTACATACCTTTTATTGTTTGATTAATGTAATGTAAGATTATCTAAAAATGTATCCTTCATTCGACGCATGAAAATCCCATGAGCAAACTTGTACTTTGGGATGTTGATGTATATGGCTAATGGGCTACTCTTAAAAGTATTTTATGGATTACTAACATCTGGTGTATTAGTTCCTGCATTTTATTTGAGCATAGGTGTCATTTTAGCTAGGTGAGGTGTTTGTTTTTATTTGTCTCGATTCGTGTATTGATAATTTGATTCTTCACAGGTGGAGATACTAAGGCCTAGATGACTAATGTGAGCTGAAGACATATACTTTATGTATATTCAGGTGTGAATTTATTCTTAACTTTATGGCTTCAAATCATACAATTTTCTGAGGGTGGCAGCACCTTTTGAGTTCAAGTTATACTCTTCTTACAGTAACTCCAACATAATAATTTTGACATGGCCTTTGCAGTTACCTTCTGATTATAGAGTTGTTGATGACTGTGGTAAAATATTTCGGGAGTACTAAAGGATCTTGTTGCTTTTCAAGTTAATGGTGTTGTTTTAGCTGAAATTCAAGGCATCGAAGCTGCAATCACCAACTTGCATGTTTGCAACCTAATCCTCAAGAATTGCTGATTGTTGAACTGCAAACGAATCAGTCTGAGAAAAGCTTTGTCAAATTTATGATTACCAGTTCCACAACATATTGCTGATTTCATTCTAAATTGCCGACTTCGATCTGCAGATTTCTCCTGTACATGCTCCTATAGTCGGGAACAGTGACGTTCAGGGCCACACTTCAGATGGAAAGGTCTTATTCCTGCAGAACTCACCAATTCTCAAGAAAGAGAACGTAGCACATTGCTGATTTCATTCTAATTTCTGGTTTCATCTGCAGATTTCTCTTCATGCCCCAGAAGTCGAGAAGGATTAGTTTGAGGTGCACATTTCAGATGGAAAGGTCTTATTCCTGCAAAATTTACCGTTTGTCATGAATGACAATGTAGGAAACCTACTGTCCCTAGTGAAATATGTCAAGGTAAGGGGGCCTGTCCTATTTGTGTATTTTCTCAATTTAACTGCAGTTTAATTCCCGAAGTGGACTGCTTCGTGAACTTGAGAGTGAAGTGCACACAAATACTTGGGTGAATCAAACGCTTGCGGTTGTGTGCAAATCATATGATGCAGCACGTCCTCTGGAGCAGTACGAGCATAACGGTGAAGTCGATGCTAAGTTCAGTCTTCATGCAGAAGCTACCGCACTCGGTCAACCTATAACTGGCGGATTTGTTGTTGTCTGCCTCGAGGATATAAGGTAACCACATGCATGATACTTATCGGTTTTGAAATCTTAACGAATATTATTACATCTATTCTTATAAATGTAAACGGTGACATTGAAAGACTAAATCTTCGAGAACTAATATTCAATCATGCAGGCCTTATCTGGGAGGGGTTGAAGTCTGAAAAACCCTAAAAGGAAACTAGTCTTACCGGATCTTAGCTTACCATTTGGACACTGTTGATTAATCGGGCAAAGTAAACGAAATAATACAAGAATTTTAATGAGGTTCGACAATGTGCTTACGTCCTCGGTGCCTAAGCGGCGCTAGAAAATTTTATTCAATTCTCATAGGTTTAGGTTACATCTCTATTTATAATAGAAAATCCTGGTACATAATTACAAAATTAACCCTGTACCGTACCGCGGGACGCTGCCCCGCACCCTCAACCCACATAATCGTAACCCCCTCTACGAGACTTTCTTTGTAAGGACAGTTGATGTTCGCTTCGCTCACTCCGCTCCATCCCCTGTCCTCTTTAACGGTATATTTATGAGCCATACCTTACACACACCTTCCTCCCGGTTTTATCGGTTATGCAGTTAATATGGTTAACCTGAAGTGACTTCACATCGACTACAGAACCGGTTCTGGCCATGGTTCATCAGAGACTCTATTCTACATACTTTTTGACAAGGTTCAAGTATACGAAACAAGGGAACATATGGAAAATGCTCTTAATTACATTAAAACAAGGTGCTGTGTCTCTGGATGGAGGGATTCTGAGAGAAAATGGAGATATATCTCTTGTATTCCAGTATTTAATACTCTCTCCCGCACTATGCATACGCGTTTTATATATACTTCATGTCTAATTTCTCGAGTTTGACTTCCACGAGTCCGGAAATGTGTTTTCGGGTCGAGAAGATGAACGCCTCTCCATAAAACCATGGATTAGATCAAGGAAAAACAGTTTGAACTAACAATAACCTTGCAACGTTTACGTACATGGAGAATACCGATGACACGATCAACGGTATTGCAACACCGAGTATGAACCCACTGCAATGCACCCAAGAGCTCAGAACTCCCTACCAATGTACTCCGAGGTGATTATATTTCTAACCAACTGCTCTTTATCTGCTTTATTTAGTTAACTTCTGGGAGTTTCGAGTTCATATACAGATGTAAACTGCTGCAAAATGAAGGAAATAAGTGTTCTCCGGCAACTTAAAGCATCAGAGAGTCATCTCGGAATCCAAACTCATTATTTGTAATAGCTTGTTTATGATTACGCTCTAAATAAACATTATAGATTTATGTTCAAAAATTTGTGTTAATGTTCTTGTTATCATCTTTAGAAGTAATTTTGATAATATGTTTCTTTAAATATATCAGATTTTCATGAACGTGTATCCTCAAGATTAAGCATCGGCACAATAGCTGATGTTAGTCTACTCCTCCTTTCTCCCTACTCACTTCCCTTCCTATATCTCCATAACCATCATCCAAGGATGGGTTTAGCGATAAGAGTCGGGAGTCAGAAGGGTCACTATTTCTGCCTGCACTTTGAAGCTTTCCACTTGGGCATGGGTCCCTGTCTACCGGCAATTTCTCTGTTTGATGATGAGATGCAGGCTAGGAGCTATAGCTGTAGCCTCGAAGTCAGAGCAAATGACCAGAATCGTATATGGGAAGGTACTTCATGCAGCATCCGTGATAGTAACAGGAAAGTCGGGGACAGAAAAGACGCCCTAATCATCCAACAAAACATGACACTTTTTTTCTCTGGTGGGGATAGAAAGGTGCTAAAGCTGAGAGTTACAGGAAGAATATGGAAGGCAGAACCGCAGAACAAAATCCAGATGCTGGTATGTGCATACCAAACTACTGTAGTTGACACAATCGATTATTATAACTTATTTTCATCTCTTTCCAGCTGTTTTTCCATTATAATAGACGAAAGAGTATAGCTTCTATGAAATGTGCAACAAGAAAATCGATGTTTAGATTCATAATGGAATGCACATTAACAAGTATCTCAACATCATTAATTGCATTCATGTCATAGTTTTCAATGATATGTCTCAACTCATTCCATCTGATCCTTTCCAGAAATAATTTGAAATTATACCGACTCAAAACCAGATTTCTTCTTTGATCCCCTAATTACAGAGAAGCAGATAAAACTGAGCCCATAAATGAACATAAAAGATTCCTTCAAAATATAGAGCTATCTTTTGCAATATCAGTTTAAGACAATTTTATCAGAATTGCTGCTTTGCTTCAACAAAATTAGAATCTGCAACAGTCTCCATAGAAGTAGCTTCCTCGGTAGGCCCTTCACTCTCATCTTCTTCCGGCACTTCACCTTGAGAGGAAGCATCAATGGTGTTTTCGGTGGCCAAAGACGACTCAGATTCACCTTTTTTCCCAAATAAATTTGATGGAAGTAAAGATGCGACTGCGGCTTTGGCACTTCTCTTGGCTGCTTCTGCAGCTTCGATTTCCCGATCTTTAGCTTCGGCCTTCAGTCTCTCTTTCTCCTCCATAAGCTTTGTCAAATCATCTTCTCTCCCTACATTTCTTAACAACTCTCTAACAAATTCTTGCAACTCCTCATTAAAATCAGAGCTTTCCTCATCCAACATCTCATCAACCATCTTCAGCACATCATCCAACTTCCCCACATCACTAAGTGCTTTCATCATAAACTTATAGCTGGCATCATCCATCTTAAGCTTCTTCACCATTGTATCATAAAACGATTTCGCCTCATGCACCTTCCCAGCTTTAACCAATTCGTCGACCAACCTATTATAAACAGACAAGTTTGGCCTCAAACCCGCCTCCACCATCTTCCTAAAATACGAAGCCCCATCATCAATCCTATTCACTTTAAAGCAAGCATACATCAACAGAACATAAGTATACTCATCGGGGCTAACACCATCGGCACCCATTTCGACATATAGCTCCTCAGCTTCACCCAACAATTCATTTTGGCACAGCTGATCAATCAAATTGTTAAACGACAAAGTATCCTGACTACACCTATAATCTCGCATTGACCTGAAAACATCCATGGCTTCCTCAAACTTACCTTCGGTGCAATATCCATCAACAATCACATTAAAGCTTCCCAAATTCACTGCTAATCTCCTAGGAGGACTATGCTCATTTTTCATCCTATCAAACAATCTTAAAGCCTCATCAAACTTCCCGTTCTTACTTAATGCGTCAAGAACGTAGTTATAAGCAACAGCACTCATCTTAACCATCGAATTCTCTCCACAAACTTCTTCATAACATTCCATAGCTTCTTTCTCCATTCCCTTCATGAAATACCCGTTCATTAAGCTCCCATAAATGACCCCATCTTTATTCTCTTTTAACTCCTCAAAAAGCTTAAAAATCCCATCTGAATCCCGGTTCTTGGCACAACCGAACATTAAAAAACTATAGACAATAGGATCAGGAGCCAAACCTTTCTCGGCCATTTCTTCCTTCATTTCCATAGCCTTATCCAATTTCCCATTATCCACCAGCCCTTTCACTAAAATCCTATAAGTAGTAGGAGAAGGACTAACCGGGGACTCGTTGATGAACTGCTTGTAATGCTCAAGGGCAGTATCGGGTTTTTTGCAATCAAGATAAGTTTGGAAAATAAGATTGTGTGTTATCACATTGGGGGCGATTCCGGCCAGGGTTACGAACCGATGCAGAGAGAGTAGATCCGCGTATTTCGATTGCCGCAGCTGGGCGTTCAAGACAGCGTTCACAGTGTAAATCGTGGGGCGGCAATTGGAGTAAACAGAGTGGCGCGTGTATAGAGCGGCCTCCTCAAGGTCGTTCTCGCGGATGAGCTTCAAGATCTTGTTGTGGAGGTTGAGGCGGTTTCCGGAGAGAGCGGTTACGGGTTCAGGGACTTTAGGGGCGTTTGGGTTTTGGATTGGTCTCGGTGGAACAACCTGCTGGGCATGTTGTTGAGAGCGTTGAGCAGAGGAGAGCGGAGGTTCGACACGGAGACGACGCTTGCGGCGGCGGCGTTCGGCGGCGGCTTCTTCTGGTGTACTAAATGAGAGGCAGCGGAGGGCAATGAAAGAGGGCGGCAGACGGTGGCGGGGATTGGCTAGGATTTTGAGGTGGTTGAGGAAGGCGGGTTTGAGAAGCGCCATTTCTTAGTGATGTAAAATGGAAGGAAAGTTAGGGTTTTGGATTCGCTGGTGGCCGGTGGGCAAATTTCATAGGTTTTAAGGGACTGTTAAGGTCGAAAGATTTGATAAGCATATGATGGAGTCGGGTCGGGTCGGGTCTGAACAATGTACCGGACTTGAGTTTACGTGTTTGGGCCTGCCTTATCGTCCATCAACTTCAGCTAAAAATGACCCAACTATGCAATGTCTTTTTCTTTGGTTAAAATATGCTCTATGTTCCTGTGTTCTTTGTACATTTGGAACTTAATCCTCCTGCTTTTAAATCCCAAACTCAACAAAAATGAATTATGATGCAAGCTTCAAACAAACCGAAAAAAATCTAACATCTCATCTCAATCTTTAATTCTCATGTTAAAGCATTTATATTCAGAATTCATTTTTAGATAATTACGATAATAAAATATAAGACATTAGGTTTAGAATTTATATATATATATATATTCTTTTATATTCTCTTTGATTATTGATTTTGAACCCACTAAAAGCATTCTCCTTCATTCCACTATAATCTTTTCTTTCCCTCCCTTCTAAGTGAGATTAGATTTAGAATTTATATATATATATATAATTTCTTTGATAAGAAGAAAGAGTTATGATAACATTTTTTTAAAAGCTATGAAAGGGTAACAATCAACAATTTTATATAATATTTTAATCAATTTTCAACTCTATAAGAAATTAAATTTAACATTAGCCATTGCCGAACTCGAAAGTGAAAGAATTGACAAAAGATTTCCAAACGTAATATATATTCACATACGTAAGCGTAAAGATTAGCCGTCAAAAGATAAAAACTAAACTAAATTATGTTAATAATACGCTGGAAAATATGCCAAAAAATCATTGAAAATATGATATAAACAAATCTTGAAACAAAACAAGTTGGAACATCGATGTTGATTTATTTTAATTATTTAACTAAATTAAATGTGGAAATTCTCGTCTTTGTTAGGACAAAACAAGGATGCATGCTTGTATAGCAAGGGGGAGAAAGGGACTTAAAACAATTACTTTAATATATATTTAAATGGTAATAATGTTTTTAACCACATATTTGCCACATGACACGATAACCACGTAAACCTATATGATAATGCTTTATGCTTCCAACCAGACGTGACTGTGCGTATTTTTGTTCATTGGTTTTTATCATAGGCCTCATTTCAAAATTTTGAAAAAATAATACTTGGTATTCCATTTTTTAAAAATTGGTTAATTTAAATTTAAATTTCTTTATTTTTTTAAGTTCACCATTAAGTTTTTCTTTTTTGAAATACTTAGTTTAGGCTTTTAATATTTTTATAAATCGTAAGTAGCTTCTCAAATAGTTTGTCCAGATTTGTCATTGTTTTTATGTTAGGATTTAAGGATAACGTCATAATTGGTATTTCCACTTTGATAAAACGGGTAGAGTTAATTGTATCATACATCTTTAAACTATTATTCTAATTTTAAATTGGTTTGTGATTTTTTAATATTTTAAGTTCATCACCAAATTATAACTCACATTTTAAATTAATCATCAAACTTTTGAATGATTTACATTCATCCATTAAGTTTGTCCCTCATTCTAAATTGGTCATCAAACTTTCAAACATTCCAATTGAATCCCCTAAATCATTCAAAAGTTTATCAATGAAATTAGAATATTGAAAATTTTGGGGATCAATATAGAATGAGAGTCATAGTTTTGGGATGAATTTGAAATATTTACAAGGTTGAGGATCAATTTAAAATAAGAATCATAGTTTAAGGACGTGTACTGCAATTAACTCAAATGTTTAATATGATAGGATATGTAAGGATTGCAACTAGTCATATTAAAGAGTATATATATATATATATAGATATATAGATACGACTCGACATAGTAATAACAAAACCTTAAAACTCGAACTTAAAATTATTTTCATCCACCTTAAACCCATCCTCAAAATTTGAATTAGAAATAAACTTCGATCTGAATCGATTTAATTCAAATTTTTTATCTTTTTACATATTTCTTATCAAAATAATAAATAAATAAATATTAATTTATTTAATCTAATAATACAAAATCAAAATACTTTTATTTAATATCATAAATTTAGTATTTTGTATACTAATTTAACATATATTTTTATAAAAAAATCAACTAATGATATATAAATACATATACATATATATATCGAAGGTAAGATCGAGATGAGTTCTTCATAAGCTTAAACTTGATTCATTTCAAAATTTGGATTTCATTAAAAAAATAATTCTCTCATGTAGAAAACATCACGTACAAACTTTTTTACTATCCATAGTAGGGGTGTGCAAATCCGGGTACTCGGATTTTCGCGTACCCGATAATATCCGGGTTAGTGATTTCTCGGCCAGTGTCTCGACCCGGATGTTTCGGGTACCTGGATACCTTGATTTTTTTCTTCAAATTATTAAATATAAAAAACACAAATTTTGAGCGATTTCGAGATACTTACAAAGCTTGGTTCACAATTTTGAACGGCGGAGAGCTCGATTTCAATGAATCGAAAACTTTGACCACTTCACCTCCTCACGCGCCGCCGTCGTCGGAGACCAAGGATGACACGGGTGGACTCGGAACGATGCAAGGAACACGATGGTGCGGGAGGTGTCGTAAACGGATGCTCGGATCGTCGTGAATCGATGAAAAACCAACTGAAATCGGGTTATTACCGACGATACTTCCGACTGAAATTAACGACGAACGGCAATGATTCATGACAAAAGGTTTGAGGGGTTTTATTCCTCAGTTGACAACGAACACGATAGTGGTTTCGGCTCGTCGATCATAGGTCGGACGACGAGTAGATCAGAGTTGAAAGGAGGGTTGTTGGAGAAGGGAAAACTGGAAAAATGAGAACATGCGCACGGGGAGGGGGTTTATAATTCAACTCATAATAAAAATGGGTAAACCATGAGTTTAGCCACTGAATTTCATGCACTTTATAAAACGGTCTGCCAACTTTAAAACCTTATAATTTAACCCACTGTTTCTTTCAAAAATACCAATTAAATTCACCACTTTATAATTTCTTAATTTTAGCTCCTAAATTGGGGTGTTACAATTCTCCCCTCCTTAAAAGAATTTTTTCCTCGAAATTCATTCATATCACATTATTACCGAAATGAAATTTTCATCAGTTCTTTCAGATATTTCATGTAGCTCTTTTAGAAATACGGATCCTCCACTAATCCTTAACCAGTTGAGCATACATTCTTATCAGAACTTTTCCTTATTCCAATAAAAGAATCCGAACGAAAATTTCCTTGAGTAATAAATTCAGTCTTGGTCACGAGAATAGACTCATAAAGAGTAGCATATCCCAATTTCATTTCCGAAGTCGGGTCAAAATTTCTCAGATGAATAACTCTCATATGGCTCGTGAGGTACTTCATAGCGTTTAAATAAATGTTACTGGTATTCCTTTTTGTACAAGTATAGCCTTAACGGATAGAAACTTTGGTTTACTCGTTACAGATAGGGACTCAGCCCTGGAGTTCCGGCTCAGAGAGGTACGATTGCAGTCTAGGGGCATGTACTGATCAGACATATTTTGACATTCGACCGGCCGGTCTATCTTGAAAATTTTTGACTCAAACAATAGCTCTGATACCACTAAATGTAACCCCCCACAGACCGATGCGGGTAACCAGATCTGATCCGGGGTGTCACATTTGGGCCACCGGAGCGACCCACTGTAAAAAATAGTGGAAAATTTAAAACTTTTATTGAAAGATGTAACTTATAAAATCAGTTGTCACTATTTAAAAATAAAACAGATCTCCAGACTCGTATATAAATCAAAATACAATTACATGCCCCCTAATCACATGTACCATTCTCTAGAAACAACGCCGGAAGAATTCCTTTACTGATGTCGATAAATGCACTGGTACAATTCTTTTAACCTGCAATGGTGAGTAATAGAATGAGCTTCGGAAAGCTCAGTAATACAGAACTACCAGATGATGCTGAAAAACGTGCAGATACAGATAAACATATTTTCCTTATTGGTTCAGATATTTACAGATCTTTATGTTGAGCTGAGGTCCATTGATATCGCATGTAGTAACAAATAGTATTCATTTCATATGGAAATATTTCGGATATCTAGGTTCAGGAGATCAGAACATGTTTTCTAGTGTGTTCCCAAAAATCATGTAACTTTTCAGATCTTTTTAAAATATATATATATATACCCCTATCCGTCAAGTCGAAAATGTGTAGGTTCCCCAGAACCATACACCCAGCGTCAAGTCCAGTAGGCCCTGAGTACACAGCCGAGGAGCCGGTAAGTAAGGCCCTGAGCACACAGCCGAGGAGCCTCCAAGTATACTTCCTCCAACATTACCCCCAAGTAAAATATATCCGTCCGTAAACGGATATATCAAAAATCAAAACATAAATCAGGTCAAGTATCATATCAGAAATCAGGTCAAGTAACAGATCAGAATCCAAGTCAAGTATCATATCAGAATCTATGTCAGATATCAGATCAGAATCCATTTCAAGTATCAGATCAGAATTCAAATCGAAAATCAGATAAAATATTCATGTGAGTATGGAACACACCAGAGTTTATGGATATTATTTAGAGGGACTGGATAATCTTATTAGGCAAAGAAACACGAATCTTTAGTTTACCGATAGAATGTCGGTATTTAGAATCACTATAGGAATAGTTCAATAACTATCGGAATCATCAGTTATTCAGAATATAACTTGAGTTGATAAGGAAGAAATGAAGATTCAGGACATTTACAGTTGGCGTCGATTTATCGGATTATTGAAATAACTTAAGTTTATCAACTCCCAAAACTAATGCATGTTGACATGTCCATTCGTTGTCCTACCAGGTATTCACTCTTTAATACCAACAATTATTGTCCCTAAATTAACTTTTGAGTCATCACTGAACATATCTTAAGGAGACGAACAAATACTCTAA